GTTCAAAGGTCCTGAATTCGAGTCCTGCTAGTAGGAGTAATGAATGCACACTGCTGATGAATCCTATACCAGGACAAAACAGAGTCATCTTTTGGTATTTCCAGGTTTCTAATGATGGTCTAACATGGATCGATTCATGATTTCAATAAGTAATACAACAATCTGCACAATCCTCACATGCAAATTCATACAAAATAAAATTCCCGGCTCCGAATGTTTCGAAAAGTTTCTATCTCTATTCATATTTCCAACCATTACAAAAGCTTGTATTGTGCTTTTCTATACCTTATCGATCGACAGGTCGTAAACTTGCTGTATGTAAACGCACTTGAATAGACTGTATGATTAATAGACATAATTGACAGGTTAAAATACAAACGATAAAGTGGTAATTTGTTAAAATAGTCTGATTTCATAAAAAACAGGCGCTTCCTCTGTCCAGTATTTTAACATTTTTCCAATCGAATGTATGTCCATAGTTGTCTGTATGTATTGAGATAATAGAAGAAATGTCTTGACGTTTGGCTGTTAAATGATGTTCATGCAAACGAAAGCTGACGAATCCGTCCACTTTCTCTTATGTAGTGTTTTTCACATTCTGAGCAGTTGTTTATTTTATAGATGATATTTAGTTTTTCTTCGTTTGTCATTTTGTGCCTTGGTCTACACATACGATTGATTGAAGTGATTCTGTTGGTTTGTATGCTACACCTATCCAAAATGGTCTCTGTAGTCGTGCTGGAATTTCCGATATGTCATATTGGAAATTCAAATACTTCACTTCTTCTACCTGAAGTTTATGCTGACGGTGTTGTTGTTCAGAAGAAAAACACTGAAAGCTGCACAATCAAAACGTCACTTCTATCAATATGAAATGCAAATTATTTTATAGACATTGCGCTGCACGAATTGTTTGTGTTAGACGCTCTAGAAGTTCAACGAATCATTTTGAAATTGTCTAGTAAGATGAATTGACCTTATCATTCAGGACTGTGTGAACTGATGTGTTTTCGGTAATTCATAAAGTCCAAACATTACTGTACTGCTAAGTTCAAGTGGTGTTTTTTAATCCTTAGGAGATTAAATCGAAGTGTTGTATTCATCTTCTCTATGTAGACTGTTTTATCCATCCATCGACTTACACCAACCAACTACTGGTTGAATTCCCCCCAATCAATTAATGCAAATGTTTCAAGATTCGTTTTTTTGTCTAAACTACTCAATCGATTTCGATTGCTATATGGATCAGCAGTATATTTCTAAATGAGTACACACAGTGCTAAACTGTGTGTAATCCTGCGAGTAGCAGGACTTGTGGATGCGTACTGCCAATAATGAGTCCTATACCAGGACGACATGGTCATCTTTCAATGCTTCCAGATTTGTTATGATGATAGTCTAACAATGATTGATTTATTCATGATTCCAAAGTGTAGAAACTCTAGTCAGCTTCTCTTCTTCTTCTCGGGGTATATCCTGGGACACCTGAGTGAGCGACGCTGTTATTAGGAAGCGGGTGCTAGGTAAGGATGGCAGATCAATAGATGAAGTAATGAAACTTCATCAGTTGAGGTAGTTGGGACATGTGCTGCGTATGCCTAACCACCGACTGCCTCGAAGAGCTTTGTTTTGTAGTGTAGGAGTAGGTTGGAAGAAAGCTAGGGGCGGCCAAACCAAAACACGGCAAAAATCCATGAAGTCAGTGATAAGTGGACTGAGTCATGTTGGTAATTGTCGACTACCTGGTTGGGGTCTGCGAGATGATAATAATCGATGGCTAGAGACCTTGAATGACATGGCTCAAAATCGTTCGCAATGGCACCGGTGCATTTATTCTTTGTGTTCTCTCAAATCCTAATCTTCTGGGTTCTTCAACACCTCTAGTTTTGACTTTCTAAACTTTTCTCACTGAACCATACTTCTTGAATAATATCTTCTAATCCTAACCTCTCTGATTACTTCAAATACCTTTACTACCTCTTCTACTATTGGATTTGAATTGACAATTATATCTCTGTGCTGATATGGTATGGCGATATGAACTGATGCACTTACGTACGAAGTTCTACGTTGCATCTGACTGACTGACTCTCTTTACGTTCACTACACTTTGATTGATTTATTTAGTGCATGAACTGATATCATAAAAATGTTTTTAATTCTTTTTCCTTGATCATTGATCATTGTCACTTGTCCCACTTGTCAAATGATTGAACAATGAATTTTGTTATTATTGTTGCTGCAATAAACCAACAGTGTGACGTAACCAATGCACATGATCACCATGATTATGTGTTTTTTATTAGTTACTTACTGTTTATCTTAGACTTGTTACCCCCCATGGAGTATATATATAGGTTTTTGACTAGTATTTTCCAATCTACTCTGTCCTTCATTCGCCTTTCCAGCTCTTTCGAATCGCTATTCACTCTTTTCATGTCTGACTCCAATTCTCGGCGAAGTGCACTGTTTAGTCTTCCTCGTTTCTTTTGACCTTGAGAATTCTAAGTTAGGGATTGTCTTGTGATGTAGTTGACTGATATCTACAATGTGTGTCTGGTTTATTTTCTGCCATAGTAGATTGTTATTGATGATGTGTGACTAAGATTATTGCTGATAAATTTAGTAAAACACTTGATAAATTAAAGGAAAATATTACTTATCTTTCTCAAATAAAAATCTCTCACCTGCCACACAGCTGATCTTCGACTAAATCACCACATCTCATTGTATTAATCAGTTGACACGTTTGTGTGGATAAACGTACACATTGAGGGGGGAATAATCAGCCGATGCAATCAATACATATGAAACATGTGCCTAGATGGCTTCAAAATCAATGAGAGTCAAATGACCCTCCGATAAACGTGGGAATTAAGAAAAAAACCGTATTCATCGATAGCCAAAACACTTTAGTGAAACATGGCATGGAATTGATATGAGTACAGTTTTTAAAACGTTTTGTAGCAATTATAAGATGGTGGAGAAAATTTGTAACTCATGTGGATGATTGTGGTGGTGGTGTTTGGTTCTCTGAGTTGAATGTTTTGGTTATGGAGCTTTCATTGTTCTTCTGCTGAACAACATCATTAGCACAAACTTCGGACGGAAGTGAATTATTCGAATTTCTCCATGTTTGACCAATAGCCTGTTCTGCTAACCTCGATCTTGATTGGTTGTTATTGACCTTAACCCTGTCGTTGTTTGCATTCTTGGATTTGATTGTATCTCCCTTTTTATGATGGAAGCTTTGACTACTCGCAAATTCAAACTCACTTTATCTGTTCAGAAACGATTTGTCGTAACATTGAATTTGTCCTGGTAATCTTCGAACCATTTGTACGGCCTGAGGTTAACGTGACGATTTCATATTCTTTCTATACTAAGTTGATGTTTGCTCTCCTTGATTTTGCATTAAATTATAATAGAGATCGTTGTTTTGACACATCTGAATCATGAATCATAGTTAGATCACCAGCAGAATCCTGAAAGCACTGACAGAAGTCCGTTTCGTCCTAGTGTGGGACTCATCATTGGCAATCGCACATCCACGACCTTCGCAAGCGGTGATCGAACCCAGGACCTTCAGTCTTGCGTGCGAACACTTAGCCTCTGGTCCACTGGGCCGGTAGTATCCAACATTGTTTATGTCTAACTCTGATCAGTCTTGAAATTTCGCGCAATCTCAGTCTTCAGTAGTCACTACTTACCGACGACAGGTTTGAATTACTCCACTGGTCACCACGTCTCCTCCTTTGTTTGACATCCAAATATCGATTTATTTTATACAACGAATCTATGAAAAAATCATGCCGAAAAAAACAATTCGAAATGATTGACAATTGAATTTGCCTATCTATCAGTCAATCTAATCACCACACATTATTGATTACGATTAACAAACACCAAAGCGGGTAGGGAGGGATATCAGCAACAGCATTTTCACTTACATTTTGTAAAATTCACTAATCTCTTAATTTATTCCCGTAGATAACAACAACTGGTTTATATACAAAATAGCTTATGTAGTAGTATGCTTGTTTGTAAATTAGACAATCTGAAGAAGAAAAAGAAAAGCACTGTACATTTAGATATGACAGAGAATAATACATTTGTACACAACTACATCACAGCATCGCACTTACACACATACAGACAAACGATAAAATGTTAGTGTACAATGTACTTCACTGCATTTTAATTGGCTATTCATGTATATATATATATGTCCTGGCATTCTTTGAGTACATACAGAGTTTTACATTAGACAAAGAAATTTTTACTGAACTATCTGTGATGCATGTACCGACTCACTTACTCACTTACTCACTCACTCACACAAAATCTACCTTCAATGTCATATTGATTATATTAGCCTAGTTGAAACATGTTTCGCATACTGAAGAAAGAAATTGCCTCTAATTATATGTTTCCGAAATGTTTAAGCTTTACTTACCTACCTACCTAAACTACCTATCTACCCTGCTACCCCTATATCTTTTGTATGGCTAATGTGATATGACAACTTGAACTGAGCTGTACATATGTACTCACACACGTACGTATGTACGTACGTATACGTGAAGTTCTACGTTGTAGCCTGGCTAACTGACTAACTAACTGACTAACTGACTGATTGATTGACTTACTGATTGTATGTGTTTGTTCAATTAACATTGATCATCGTTTGAATATAAACGATAAAAATTTTTGATAAACCATGAAAAAAAATGATAAATTTTTTAAAATTTTCGGTTAGTTTCAAACGCACACACACACACACCTATACACAAAATGCAATTGTCACATGTGTACACTGATTTCTAATAGTATGTGTGCGAGTGTGTATTGGTGAGTTTTATATATTAACTCTGAGAATTTGGGGAATACAATTTAACAAAACTCATAATCATCATAATAATAATAGTTATTATTATTACTATAATTATCAATTTCATTGTACTTGCAATCCACTGTTCTGATTACTGTTTTTCATTCAGAATTTTCTTCAACGTGGATTTCAATCGAAACGACCAAAATCAATGGTAAAAAGTGAACGACGCAAAAATGTTAAACAGTAAGTGTAAATGTTATTCATATATTGCATACGTTTTAAGCAAATATTCCAGTGTGTGTATGTTGTGTGAATCGTAGGAATAATGTGAGATGATTGTTTGTTCATGAACGACTTGACCTTGAGACAGGTTCTCGAGCTTAAAAACAGGTAGTATGAGGAGTTGTTGAGTTCAGACGAATGAGTTCGACATTTGGGACACTAGTTCGTGGGTATCGGGTAAGGATGGCAAATCAATGGATGAAGTAGTGAAACTTCATCAGTTGAGGTAGTTGGGACATGTGTTACGAATGGCTAACCACCGACTGCCTCGAAAAGCAATGTTTTGTAGTGTAGGAATAAGTTGGAAGAAAGCTAAGGGCGGTCAAACCAAAAGATGGCAGAAATCCATGAAGTCACTGACAAGTGAACTGAGCCATGTTGGTAGATGGAGGATACCTGGTGGGGATCCACGAGACGAAAGTCAACAATGGTTAGAGACCTTGAACGACATGGCTCAGAATCGTTTGCAATCGCGCCGGCCCATCCAGTCTTTGTGTTCTATGAAATTCTAACCTTCTGCATTCCTCATAATCTTTATCTTTCTCTTTCTAAACTTATTTCACTGAATTATACTTCTTGAATCATATCTTCACTCCCTAATCTTCACCATTACCAGTAATACTTCTACAGTTGCGTCTCTGTGCTAATGCGGTATGGCAACTTGAACTGTTGTACGTACGTACGAATTTCTGTGTTGTGTCTGTCTATATATCTATCTATAAAAGAAGGTTGGAAGAAAGCTAGGCGAAGTCAAACCAAAACACGGCACAAATCCATAAAGTCACTGGCAAGTGGACTGAGTCATGTTGGTAGATGTAGGATACCTGGTTGGGATCGACGAGAAGATAGTAATCGATGGGTCGAAACCTCGAATGACATGGTTCAACATAGTTTGGAATGGCGCAGGTGCATCCATGTTTTGTCTTTGCCCAAATTCTAACCTTCCAATCTCCTCATGATACCTTCTTTTCTCTCTTTAAATTTGCTTCCCTCTACCACCATGCGATTTGAATAGACGATTCGATATCTGTTTGCTAATGTGGTATAACAACTTGATCTGATGTACTTATGTTGTTGCATACTGACTTCACCATGATGAAATCGAGTAAACAGCATAAAAAATTTGAACGAGAAAGGTATTTGATGGTCATTAAAAATGTCCTGAAGGATGGATGTATATCATTGGTCCAGAAATCGACTCATTTTCTAAGGGGATGATATTGATATATCATATCTAGACTAGTATTTGTGCATATAACTCGGTAACCGAATATACTATATGCTTCATTCTTGTTTTATCGTTCAGTTACGTAGTTTGGGTGGATTACCAACTATCAGGTTCAGATCTTGAACCCCGCATATCACAATACATATCAGTCATCATTGGATGACTACGTCGATTACATTTTATAGCCAATGAAATTCCACTGTGTCACTAACCAATTATGTATGATCTGTTCGTAGGATCTTACAATTTATCTTTACTAGTTGAAGATGCTGAAAAAATACAGAGTCTTCTGAACACTTTAAGCAACAATCCAAGCATGTTTGGGTTGTGATTCTCCCCGTCCAAAAGCAAAATGCTGCTTCAGGATTGACTTGCGTCAGCACCTGGTCTAGTGATAGGGAGTGAGTATGATGGCTGCTTCCCTTATGTTGAGAGTCTCATCAGTGCTGATGGTCTGGTGAATGACGAAATCTCAGCACGGGTACAGAAGGTCCGATTGGATTTCGTCAACTCGAGTCATTCTTGGCGATTGCGAGATATATGTCTACTAACCAAAGAACGAGTCTACTGTTCATCACTTCGCACCACCTTACTCTATGGGTATTAAACGTGGTCATTAAGAGTAGAGGCTCTTCGTAGGTTACTGGTTTTCGATCGTAGGTGTCTCTGAAGCATTGCTCATATATCTTGGAACCAATGAGTAAACAATGTTGTTTTTGGGAAAAGAGTACAAGGTAGGATGGTAGATCATTTTATTGAAGTACTGCATCTTCATTATTTAAGGAGGTTGGGACATTTATTACGAATGCCGAACCACCGACTGCCGCGACAAGCGATGTTTTGTTTTGTAGGGGTAAGCTGGAAGGGATCTTGGGGTGGTCAAGCCAATACATGTCATAAAATCATGAAGTTATTGACTGAGCGATGTTGGTACGTTCAAACAACCTGATTGGTGTCTGCGAGACAATAGTAACGAATGGTTGGACGCTTTGAATGGTGTAGGTGCATGCACTGTTTGTCTCCTCTCAATTTTTAATCTTCTGAATTCATTATGAAGTTTATAAATCTTTTTAAATTTACTTCACTTGTATATACTTCTTGAATGATATCTCCGAAACCTAATCTTCTCCATAACCACTAATACTTCTACTGCATCTACTACTATGGAATTTGAATTGACAATTGCATCTCTATGTGCTAATGTGCTATGGCAACTTGAACTGATGTACGTATATACAAAGATCTACGCTGTAGCTTTCTGACTAACACTAAATATCAGTAATAATCACATTAGAGTTTCATCACATGCTAGCATGCAATTACGGTACACAATACTGACTAGCTAGTTACTTCAAATATTCAGTGTTCAATTTTCTAAGTTCAATGAATCAATTCATAATTTAACAATTCAATAATTATCATCATGAATATAATTTTTTTCTGAATTCAATTTTCATTTTCACTATTTATCTATTGTCCTACGATTGTATATTTTTTCTATGTTCTTCACATCAAAAGTCATAAGATCTTACTTATAAGGTAATAATCATTCAACTATTTAAATAACTCTCTTTATTCAGTGATTAATTGATATGAGACGACACAGTGCAACCGATCGATCGATCGATCGGTTAGTCAATCGATTATTTGATTGGATATGAGGAAATAAATGATATTCACGTGACTGTTTGCATATGTCTATGGTGGACATGGGTTTGCTGTTGATAAAGAGTGCACGATAACTAGTTGAGTTTGATCCAGTCTCTTAGTATTATTGTTTTTCAACACAGCATGTAATATCAGCATGTGATAGTTGCTTTGTCCTCAGAAAATAGATCCATTCATCAGCTGACTAAATATATTACTATGTCTTTGTAAATCTTGTGGGTTGTATAGTTGAACTGTGAAGGTGGATGGATAACAAAACTCAACCTAAAAGTACTCTGTTTTACCCAGTGAACGCATTTTTACAGTATTTTTGAAAAAAATCTTTTCCAATAGCTAATATCATGCAGATTCTATATGTTCACCTCATCTCTAAATGTTGTTGATCTCATCTGGTTTTTCACTAATATGCTGTAAACAGTCATTGTTTACAAAATTTCATTTATGCATGATGATACAGGTACCCAGCAGTATGATTCCTGTACCTAGGCTCTTAATCCAAACGATGTAAATTGAAATGATTACATTGTGTACAGTTCTTAATCTTCAGTCAGTCAGTCAGTCAGATGCAACGCAGAACTTCGTACGTACGTACATTGGTTCAAGTTGTCATACCTCATTAGCACAAACATGCTACTGTCAATTCAAATCCCAGAGGTAGTAAAGTTATTAGCAGTAATCAAAGAGATTAGGGTTTGAAGATAATATTCACGAAGCAGAATCTAGTGAAATAAACTTGAGAAACAAAGATAAAAGGATGAGGAATTAAGAAGATTAGGACTTAAGGGAAAGCGAAGAATGAATTCACCTGTGCCACTACAAACGATTCTGAGCCGTGTCGTTCAAGTTCTCTAACCATTGGTGACTTTCGTCCTCACGGACCCCAAACAGGTAGTCTACATCTACTAACATCACTCAGTCCACTAGTCAATAACTTCATGGATTGCTGCCATGTTATGGTTTGACCGCTCCTAGCTATCTTCCAACCTACTCCTACACTACAAAACAAAACTCGGTGGTGGGGTATTCGTAACATACGCTCCAATCACCTCAACTGATGAGGTTTCACTACTACATCTACTGATCTACCATCCTTATCTAGGAACCGTTTCCTAATAACATCATTGCTCACTTGGTTGTCCCACGATATACGAGCAATGCTTCGAAGACATCTATGATCGAAAACCAGTAACCTATGAATATCTTCTACTCTAACCAACCATGTTTCGCACCCATATAGTAGGATGGAACAAAGTGCTGCGCAGTACACTCGTCCTTTAGTCAGCAAACGGATATCTCGTCTACGCCACAAGTGACGCAGGTTGGCAAAAGCCAATCGAACCTTCTTTATCCATGCTGAGATTTCATCACACACCAATCCATCAGCACTGATGAGACTCCCGAGATAAGTGAAGCGGTCAACATGCTCAACTGTCTCACTACCTATCACTAGTTCAGATGCCGATAGGAGCCAATCGTGAAGCAACATTTCGAATTTCGATAGGGAAAACCACGGGCCGAACATGCTTGAATTGTTGCTTTGGGGTAGTCAGAAGACTCTTCATTATATCAGCGTCTTCACCGAGTAGGAGTATTATGGAGATCGTTGTTTTTATACGTTGAAATCATGAACGAATCATTGTTAGACCACCATCATTTGAAATCTGGAAGTACTGAATCGTCCTGCCTGGTATAGGACTCATCAACAGTGTGTAGCCACAAATCCTGCTACTTGCTGGACCTTCGGTCTTGCATGTGGACGTCCAACCTCAGTTCCACTGAGCCGGTGGCATCCAACGGTGTTAATGTCTAATAATTCTGATCAATCTAAGAATTTTGCGCAACGTCGCCCAATAGTCTCTGATAGATGACTCTCTTCACCCGACACCTTTCTCCTTCAATTGTCTTCTACCTTATAGACAAGTTACGCATTTGTATGGATTTTATGTCAGAGGTTTTCGTTTACGTAGACAGACACGCACATTTGGATCACGTTTATACACAGACACTTAATTGTCCTTTTATAAGTTTATCAGTCTTCCTGTTGTATATTCCAGTGACGATAATT